TGCTTTGTACCAGAATCATCATTATTATAAAATAAAATGCATCATTTGTATTTGTAGTAACATAGTAACATAGCACTGACCAATGCCAATTTTTTTTTTTAAGGTTGTTACTTCTTTTGCCCATGAATTCCACACAAATAACATTTTTTGCAAGATAATATCACCAAATGAAGGCCTTGTTTGTTATATACTGTACAATATATGTATTACTTTGTTATCTGGAGTAATTACAACTGCAGAAATAACAGGTCCAGAGCAGAAATGTCAAAATTGTTCTGGCTCATAGGGGGGTGCAGGCGTAAGACCCAAGGTGGTTAAAAGTGTATGTCAGTGCTAATGTTTAAAAAAAAAACAAAAAAACTGCAGTACTGTCAGTATGTCTTTCAGCCACTTCCTTCCTACTTGAACTCGCTCCAGCATTGGTTGCGCGTCATGTTCTGGACTAGCTACTCAACCATAACTGTAGTGGACGGTGTCTGTTCAAAGTGTTTTGGCAACTTGTAGTCTCCGCCAGGGGAGCATGTAACAAGGTGACAACACATGAGCAGAACTGGTAGATAGCTGTCACCCCATAGCAGAAAGTACCTGAACAAGAACCGTCTCACAGGATCAACAAGTAATTTATTAGAAGCTTCAGATTTTAAAGTTTATGAAATTTTATTAACATGTTAGGGTTTATATTTTCATAATTGAGATTTTCATCATTCAGTTTAGATCTACTTTAAATCTTCATTCATGTATGATAGTGCATGGAGGTGTAACATTCCAAAGAGTTGCTCTCAAACCCAACCTGTTAGTATGCCATGGTATCAAACAGTGAAGTACAATGGACTGAGGATACATTCACACCTATGCATCACCTTATCAAGGGTTTTTTCAAACAACAGGTTTTTGCTTGCTGAGCATTTTTGGGTTTCGAGCTACAAAACATTCAAGAATGAATGGGGCCTAAAGCAAGTTACTTACACTAAACTCCAACCCAATAAACCCAAATAAGTCAACCCTCTTCCAGTCTCTTCTTTTCGAGAATTAAAGGCTATGTCCACTTTTTTGTGTGTGTGTGTATATACACACACACACACATATATATATATATATATATACACATATATATATATATATATATATATATACACACACATATATATATATATATATATACACATATATATATATATATATATATATATACACATATATATATATATATATATATATATATACACATATATATATATATATATATATATATATATATATATATATATATATATATATATATATATATATACACATATATATATATATATATATATATATATATATATATATATATATATACACACACACACACACACACACACACACACACACACACACATATATATATATACAGTTGTGGCCAAAATTATTCAACCCCCAATGCTGTAAAGGGGTTTAGGGACTATAGTGTACATTTGGAATTGTATTCAGAATCAAATCCTACAAGGACGTTGTAACTACCCAAATGCAACTAAAATGACATCAATTGTTTATGTAATACAGTAGTAAATGGTTCTTATGTGGTTTCTTCATTGCCACAATTATTCAACCCCTTAAAGACTACCACTCTGAAGAACAGAGGTTCATACAGGTGCTTTCCATCAGGTATTGAAAACACCTGTGGATGTCACCGAGCAGCAATCAAGCATAATAAGCACCAATTAGGCAGCTTTAAAATGACTGTGATACTCAGCTCCTTCTAGACATTTACTGGTGTGGTTACAAACATGGTGAAGGCAAGAGAATGGTCCAGGAAGACAAGAGAAGAGGTGATTTCTCTTCACAGGAAGGGCAATGGCTATAAGAAGATTGCAAAGATGTTAAACATACCAAGAGACACCTTAGGAAGCATCATTCGCAAATTCAAGGCAAAGGGCACTGTTGAAACGCTACCTGGTCGTGGCAGAAAGAAGATGCTGACTTCGACTGCTGTGCGCTACCTGAAGCGTAGAGTGGAGAGAAGTCCCCGTGTGACTGCTGAGGAACTGAGAAAAGATTTGTCAGATGTGGGTACAGAAGTTTCAGCCCAGACAATAAGACGCACACTGCGTAATGAAGGCCTCCGTGCCAGAACTCCCAGGCGTACCCCCTTGCTGTCTCCAAAGAATAAGAAGAGTCGACTGCAGTATGCCAAAAGCCATGTGGACAAACCACAAAAGTTGTGGGATAGTGTTCTGTGGACTGATGAAACAAAATTAGAACTGTTTGGGCCCATGGATCAACGCTATGTTTGGAGGAGGAAGAACAAGGCCTATGATGAAAAGAACACCTTGCCTACTGTGAAGCATGGTGGAGGGTCAATCATGCTTTGGGGCTGTTTTGCTTCTGCAGGTACAGGGAAGCTTCAGCGTGTGCAAGGTACCATGAATTCTCTTCAGTACCAGGAGATATTGGATGGAAACGTGATGCAGTCCGTCACACACCTGAGGCTTGGGAGACGTTGGACCTTTCAACAGGACAATGATCCCAAGCATACCTCCAAGTCCACTAGAGCATGGTTGCAGAGGAAAGGCTGGAACATTTTGGAGTGGCCATCGCAGTCACCAGACTTAAATCCGATTGAGAACCTCTGGTGGGACTTAAAGAAAGCAGTTGCAGTGCGCAAGCCTAAGAATGTGACTGAACTGGAGGCCTTTGCCCATGAAGAATGGGCGAAGATACCCGTAGATCGCTGCAAGACACTTGTGTCAAGCTATGCTTCACGTTTAAAAGCTGTTATAACTGTAAAAGGATGCTGTACTAAGTACTAAGATTGAATGTCACTTGGGGGTTGAATAAAACTGATAATGCTGTGAGCACAGAAAAGACATTTGTGGTTATTTCATTATAACTGTTATGTTATATTTGTCTGACCTACAAGTGCCTCTTTAATGTAAATGTAAGCAAGATGACTGAATGATCAAAAGCAATGTCAAACTGGCCAAAACACTCAATTTCAGTGGGGGTTGAATAATTTTGGCCACAACTGTATACACACACACACACACACACACACGCATACATACAGGTGTACCTCGGTTTACGAACGCCTTGGTTAATGTAATTTTTGGTTTATGAATGAAAATCCATTGAAAATAATGCCTCGGTTTACTATTTTTTTTTTTTTCGCACTATGAACGGATTAATTGGTTTTCAACGTAACTATTATGAATTAATTTGTAATCATGTCCCTGTACAGCACTATTCCTTTAAAGTGCACTTTATAAAAAGTTTTGAACAAATAAGAGACTTTTTTTTTTTTTTTACTTTTTTCTGACCTCCGGAACAAATTCATTGGTTTTCAATACATTCCTATGGAAAACCACGTTTTGGTTTACAAATTGTTTGCAATACGAAAAGTCCCGCAGAACAAATTAAATATGTAAACCGAGGTACGCCTGTATATGTATTTGTGGGCAGCACAGTGGCTAAATGGTTAGCATTTCCACCTGGCAGTACTAGGGTCGTTGGTTCAAATCCCAACCACAGCACCACCTGCCTGGAGTTTGCATGTTCTCCCTGTGCTTGCGTGGGTTTCCTCCGGGTACTCCAGTTTCCTCCCACACTCCAAAGACATGCTGGTAAGTTAATTGGCTCCTGTCTAAATTGTCCCTAGTATGTATGGAAAGGAGTTAGGGACCTTAGATTGTACGCCCCTTGAGGGGTTAGGGACTGATGTGAATGTACAATATATATGTAAAGTGCTGCGTAAATTGACGGTGCTATATAAGTACCTGAAATAAACTATATACAATATATATATATATACACAATATATATATATATATATATATATATATATATATATATATATATATATATATATACACACACACACAATATATATATATATATATATATATATATATATATATATATACACACACAATATATATATATATATATATATATATATACACACACACACACACACACACACACACATATATATACACACACACACACACACACACGCATATATATACACACACACACACATTTATTTTTCATAACTACAGCATCATGTTAAACACCTGTCACTTCTGTGAATGAATAGTGCCACAGTGTCAGCTGGATTCATAGTTCTCAAAGGAACAGGATTGCGGGGATGACATTTTCTCCAGTTCTGCGGAATTCGCAGCGTTTTTTGTGCGGATTCCGCACCGCAATCGCACCCCATTCATGCGAACCGCTGCGGGTGTGTATGTTAAGTTAACGACACCCCTAAATTGGTCCGCAAAACGCGGTGCGATGTGCAGAATCGGTTTGCATGGGTGTGAATACCCATGCGATCCAATTCTAGTGCAGGCCAAAAAAAGGGTCCTGCACCTTTTTGGTGCGGAGCGATTTGAGCCATACAATCGTACCGCACAGAATTTGCATGCGATTTGCACAGGAATGCGGTGCGGTTCCTGTGCGAATCACATGCCATATACTGCACCACATCAGTGTGAACCAGGGCTCAAAAGTCTGTACCTTGGTACATACCAGGAGTAGAAGGAAGAGTCAGCAGGAGCCTGTGCATTTTCCCAGCATCCACTGACTGCACTTGTATTATTTTTTGAAAAAGATGGAGTTAGCTTTTAAGTTAAGTGAACAATTACCTGTCTGCATTCAAGGTAAAGAGAAAAGGACAAAGACTGAGGAACAGTACTCACATCAGATGCAGGTCCTTTGTCAGCCCCAGGACAGGAGAAGGTAACAAATTCATGACAGCGCTTGTGTACCACAAAGCAGCAAACTGTGGAGAGAAAGAAAAGTCAACTCAAAGGCTCACATTATATATTAAAATATTATCAGCATTGCTGCAAAAAGGGTAAACGATCAGCACTGGATGCATGACACCCCACCTTCACCCTCAAGGGGAATGCTCTCTTTCCTCCATATTGGGCATAAAATGTTACTAAACCCACAACAGTAAAATCAGTCTGTATATGCAGTAAATCATGCTGGTTATACTGACTGTGAAACCTAAGCGGTTAATTCTTCACATTGTGTAAAAAACTGTTTGATCCTGTCTTTTCTGATTATCCCCTTCTTCCAGTAGCCCCCTCTTATCTCCTGATAAGACATATCGTGTGGAGTCACTCTGCACATGCTCAGTTTGATGTGTATTGCTAGAGAGGTCTTTTTTTTTTCTCTTGGGAGAGTGCATGTGATCAGCACTCAGAAGTGTCCAATAGAGGTCAAGGGATCTGCATCCTCCTAGAGAAAAATGAAACTTCCTCCTACAAGCTTTAACATGTGCCCTGCTGGACACTGATAGAAGTCACAAGACTGCTCTAACTACTGATGAGAAAAGGTATTTAGCATTTTATATATTTACTAAAATAATTGCACTTCCATGTTCTGTGTACTGTGGCAGACCGGATATAGTGAATGTGGGGTCCAGAGAGAGCGGATATAGTGAATGCCGAGTCAGGGGAGAGCGGATATAGTGAATGCAGGGTCCGGGGAGAGCGGACATAGCGAATGCAGGGTCCGGGGAGAGCGGACATAGCGAATGCAGGGTCCGGGGAGAGCGGACATAGCGAATGCAGGGTCCGGGGAGAGCGGACATAGCGAATGCAGGGTCCGGGGAGACCGGATATAGCGAATGCAGGGTCCGGGGAGACCGGATATAGTGAATGCAGGGTCCGGGGAGAGCGGATATAGCGAATGCAGGGTCCGGGGAGAGCGGACATAGCGAATGCAGGGTCCGGGGAGAGCGGACATAGCGAATGCAGGGTCCGGGGAGAGCGGACATAGCGAATGCAGGGTCCGGGGAGACCGGATATAGCGAATGCAGGGTCCGGGGAGACCGGATATAGTGAATGCAGGGTCCGGGGAGACCGGATATAGTGAATGCAGGGTCCGGGGAGACCGGATATAGTGAATGCAGGGTCCGGGGAGACCGGATATAGTGAATGCAGGGTCCGGGGAGACCGGATATAGTGAATGCAGGGTCCGGGGAGACCGGATATAGTGAATGCAGGGTCCGGGGAGACCGGATATAGTGAATGCAGGGTCCGGGGAGACCGGATATAGTGAATGCAGGGTCCGGGGAGACCGGATATAGTGAATGCAGGGTCCGGGGAGACCGGATATAGTGAATGCAGGGTCCGGGGAGACCGGATATAGTGAATGCAGGGTCCGGGGAGACCGGATATAGTGAATGCAGGGTCCGGGGAACCGGATATAGTGAATGCAGGGTCCGGGGAGACCGGATATAGTGAATGCAGGGTCCGGGGAGACCGGATATAGTGAATGCAGGGTCCGGGGAGACCGGATATAGTGAATGCAGGGTCCGGGGAGACCGGATATAGTGAATGCAGGGTCCGGGGAGACCAGATATAGTGAATGCCGGGTCCTGGGCTTAGTAACACTTTAAGAAAGCATTATCATTAGCGGTGAGATATTTGGTATTGTAGCACGAGAGTAGTTTTGTTATCAATTACCATTATCTGTGCATTCAGGTCAGGAAAAGCTTTGAAAATGGAAGCGGTGGCAGGTATAAAAACACACCAAATATTGTATTGATGTACTAAAGGTGACCTCTGGCCTTCCATTCAGTCTTACAAAGTTGTACCGGTTCCTCTCCTGGACTGAAATTGCTTACTCTGATTTCACTGCACACTGATTTCCTCACAGTGTGCACTAGAAATTGCAGCAAGTCAAAGAGTGCTGCGCCTCTTTTCCTGGTAGGATGACATCAAGTATCAACTAGCCTTTTCTTTCCCAGCTTTACTCCCCTTAGACTGCCCCTTTCATTCATTGGATTTGGGTTCTTTCAATCATGCAGGCTCAGCATCACGTGTGGATGTTACCTAAGGCAGTCTGCATGCGAATGCAATTGGCCCAGAAACTCTCATTCCTCCGGACTGACATCTACCTATCAAGGCATTTTGATATTTGCACAACTCCACCCAAGACAGATGTGGGGTCTTATAGATCCCAGATCTCTCCATAAAAAGGACCTGTCATGCTTTATGGTTATCACAAGGGATTTTTAAATTTCTTGTGCTAGCAATAAAAGCGATTTTAAAAAATAATAAATGATTTAAAAAAAAAAAAAAGTGTAAAAATATATAAAATGTAAAAAAAAAATAGTTAAATTTTTTTTTTTTAAAAGTGTTCCTATTCCCCTGTGCTCGCACACAGTGGCAAATGCATACATAGGAAACACCCACATATGTAAAAGGTGTATGTGAGGTATCGCCACGAACGTTATAGCGAAAGCAATCATTCTAACATTAGACCTCCTCTGTAACTCTAAAGATGTTAACATGTAAAAAAATTGAAAGTGTCACCTGCAGAAATCTTTTAAGTATAATAGATTGCAGCCATTCTACGACCGTGCGCAATTTTAAAGCATGATACGTTACATATCTATTTACTAGGCATAACATCTTTCATATTTAGCAGTATTTTTCCCAAAACATATTGCGTTTGAAAAACTGCAGCGCAAATACTGTGACAAAAAAAAAATAAATTTATATATATATATATATATATATATATATATATATATACACACACACACACATATATATATATATATATATATATATATATATACACACAAATATACATACACACACATATACTATATATAAAATGTTTGGGGGTTCCAAGTAATTTTAAAGCAAAAAAAAAAAAGATTTTTACACGTAGGACAGAAGTGTCAGAATAGGCCTGGTCCTTAAAGCAGAACTTCTCCTTTTAGGTGGAGCTCCGCTTTAAGCATTGGTCCTCCGCCCCCCTTGAGGAATTGACACCTTTGGGGAGTGGGTACCCAATTTTGACACGTACCCACTTCCACTGCAATCGCCTAGGCGATTGGAAGCGGACGTTGTCCTCCCTCTCGCTGTAGTCTTCTGGGGCGCGTGACAGGTCCCAGAAGGCGAAAGGCGCAACGCTGCTCGCGCATGCGCAGCGGGTGCCCACACTTAGGATGCTGATGCCACGGAGCAAGGATAGCCAGTGTAAGGGACTGCAATGAGGCTGGAACATGGGACAGGTGGGTGGGCAATTTTTTTTTTAGCTTTTTGTAGCTTCTGACTATTTTTTGTAAGTTTGACTGGAGCTCCTCTAAGGCTTGGTTCATATCTGTGCGGATGGTGCCGCTGCGGACCCGCATGAAAATCTGTGCAGCCGCACCACCCGCAGAGAGGAAAGTAGACCCACGGGTGGGTGCCATTAGTTCTAATGGCACACCGCCCACACTGGAAAACGCAACTGTACTGGGAACCGAGGTTCCCGTGCGGGCTGCATTTTCCAAAGAAGTGCAGGAACTTCTCTGCGTGTCCCAGGCATGGGAGTCCATTCAAATGAATGGGCTCTTGTAACCACGCAAAACGCGGCCCGCACACATGTGAACCAGGGGTAAGTGGTGAATGGGTTGTTTTACAAGGTGAGGGTTCACATATACTTTAGTTGGAAGAAAGAAGCTTCAAAGTCACCATCCGGGCTGTGCAAAGCTCAGAACCGGATGGCCAAAAATCCTTTGGCAGGTAAATCAGCTCCTTTATAGGTTTCAAATGGTGTTCTGCGCAGTTTACACAACCTGCCAAACTGGTTGCAATTCTCATCTGGTGCTTTAGGAGATGGTGGTGTTTAATTTGAAAACAGGTCATGAATATATATATATATATATATATATATATATATATATATATATATATATATATATATATATATATATATATATATATAAATAAGAGATCTATAGACATATATAGATACATACATACAGTATATATATATATATATATATATATATATCTATATACACACACACACACATACATATATATGTATATACACACACATACAAATATTAAGTAGGCCATTTGTGTGAAGGAAGTGTTGTGTAACTATACCCAGGCAGGAACAATAGATGCTGTAATGTCAGACGTCGGGCCACCTCTCAGCAGGGATTCCCAGCCGTCTTTATGACAGCTCTGCCATGCCGCCGAGTCGGCCCCTCTGCTCACCTGCTGCATGAATTCATTACCATTTTGCAGCATTTTTTGGATGATTAGTGCAGACGAAGCTTCTCAGAAGTCAGCTGCCCCCCTGCCACCAGCTTGTGTTACACCCTCTCCTTGAAACCCTTTGAGGTTTAGTTTCAGACTTAATAATTGACGACAACATTAAATATACATCTACTTGTCACCTCCCAGCCTCTCTGGGGCACCTGGCAAAGTCAACAGCCGTGCTGTCGTCTCTCTCAGGTTGCGGAGAGATTAATTATTGCATCCTTACGAGGGATCGGGGCTAATGGCATGCCGCTGGCACGTTGCGGTGGATGACAGCTCTTCCGGGGAACTTCCAGCGTGCCGCAGTTGTCTACAATTTGGCAATTCCAAACTCTCCAGATAAAGCTTTATTCACAAACACACATATTTACATATTTATCTAGCAGACCATCATTAGTGATCATAGAAGACAATACCCTACATTACCTCCAGCTTTGTTATGGCGACCAAATTCCCAGCTCTGAGATTTGTTCTCTCAGGGATGTCCCCATTCTTCTACATTGAGCCCTGGTTTAAACTGATGCGATACGGAATTTGCAGCATTTCAGTGCGAATTCCACACCACATCAGAATCGCACCCCGTTCATGCGAACCGCTGCGGGCGTGTATGTGAAGTTAACGACACCCCAAAAGCGGTCCACAAAAAACACAGTGCAATGTGTAGAATTGGATCTCATAGGTGTGAATATCCATACGATCCGATTCTAGTGTGGACCCAAAAAAGGGTCCTGCACGTTTTTGGTGCGGTGCGAATAGAGTCATACAAAATGTATGGCTCCAATCACACCACATGGAAATTGCATGTGACTTGCACACGAATGCAGTGCGGTTCCTGTGCAAATCACATGCGATATACCGCACCGCATATATGTGAAACAGAAAAAAAATTTTCATATTGCCAAAAGTATTGGGACACCCCACCAAATCATTGGATTCAGGTGTTCCAATCACCTCCATGGCCACAGATGTAAACAATCAAGCCCCTAGGCATGCAGACGGCTTCTACAGACATTTGTAAAAGAATGGGTTGCTCTCAGGAGCTCAGTGAATTCAAGCGTGACACCGTGATTGGTTGTCACCTGTGCAATAAGTCCATCCGTGACATTTCCTGGCTACTAAATATTCCACGCTCAACTGTTAGTGGGATTATAACAAAGCAACTGGGAACAAGAGAAGTCGCCAACTGTCTGCAGAGTCAATAGCTAACGACCTCCAAACCTCACGTGGCCTTCAGATTAGCACAACAACAGTGTGTAGAGAGCTTCATGGAATGGGTTTCCATGGCCAAGCAGCTGCATCCGAGCCTTACATCACCAAGTGCAGTGCAAAGAGTCGAATGTAGTGGTGTAAAGCACGCCGCCACTGGACTCTAGAGCAGTGGAGACGTGTTCTCTAGAGAAACGAATCACGCTTCTCTGTCTGGCAATCTGATGCACATGGCTGAGTTTGGCAGTTTCCAGGAGAACAGTACTTGCCTGACTGCATTGTGCCAAAGTTTGGTGGAGGGGGGGGATTATGGTGTGGGGTTGTTTTTCAGGGGTTGGGATTGGCCCCTTCGTTCCAGCGAAGGGAACTCTTAAGGCGTCAGCACACCAAGACATTTTGGACAATTTCATGCTCCCAACTTTGTGGGAACAGTTTGAGGATGGCCCCTTCCTGTTCCAACATGACTGCACACCAGTGCACAAAGCAAGGTCCATAAGGACATGAGCCAGTTTGGGGTGGAGGAACTTGACTGGCCTGCACAGAGTCCTGACCTCAACCCGACAGAACACCTTTGGGATGAATTAGAGCGGAGACTATGAGCCAGGCCTTCTTGTCCGACATCAGTGCCTGACCTCACAAATGTGCTTCTAGAAGAATGGTCAAACCTTCCCATAGACACCCTCCTAAACCTTGTGGACGGCCTTCCCAGAAGAGTTGAAGCTGTTATAGCTGCAAAGGGCGGGGCCAACTCAATATTGAACCCTACGGACTAAGACTGGGATGCCATTAAAGTTCATGTGCGTGTAAAGGCAGGCAGACCAATACTTTTGGCAATATAGTTTATCTAGCACTTTCAGATGAATATTATAAAGAGCTAGAATGTGTATTGATCTCTTCCAGTTCTCAAGGTACCTCAAACCTCTCTATACTGTCCTGTCCAACCCAAAGGCCATTGTGTATTGTGGGAGAATGTGGCGAAGGCAGGCGTCCCAATACTTTTGGCAATATAGTATATATCCCAATCTACAATAGATTGTTATTATACAGGATTTATATATTATTATTATACAGGATTTATATATTATTATACAGGATTTATATATTATTATACAGGATTTTTATATTATTATTATTATACAGGATTTATATATTATTATTATTATTATACAGGATTTATATATTATTATTATTATTATACAGGATTTATATAGCGCCAACAGTTTGCTCAGCGCTTTACAATATAACGGGAGACAATACAGCAACAATACAGTTCAATACAAGAGGGATTTGAGGGCCTGATCCTGGGAGCTTACAATCTAGGATGAATACACACACTGCTCTACATTATGCACAGCACCTATGATTACCTATATGCACTTTATTAGTTCCACCTTATAAGACCCTGCACACCTTAGCAGAACACAGAAGCAGACGTGGATTTGATACTACCCAATTCTTTCTGAGTAATTGCTAGAAGCATCTTCCAGCCTGCATATGGATGAGACATCTTCCCTGTAATATACTGCAGACAAGACTGAAAACTGATCGAAATTCAAGAGACGGCCCTGAACTCGGCACTCTGCGCAGACACAGGGGATGTGTAGAAGGCATCTCTTCCAATTACCATCCGAGAAGCCCAGTCCCGCCGCAGCAAATTTAGCTTCCCAATTAGAACGTTAATTTGTAATTTCTATTATTATTCGAATAATAACTTTATCAGACGGGCACGTAGGAATACCAGCAGGGATCAGTTTACAGCACATGAGGACCTGACGGCACAAGAGACGTGTGCTATAGGAAAATGAGAGAAGATACGTTCTTCGTTTGGTTAATTGGGTTAAAGGGATAAGAGCCGTCCATTGACATCACTGGGCTCTGCAGACAGTCTGGTACTAATGCCCTGTGTGTACTGTGGGGTCCCCCTGCCTCCATCACCCCATACAATAGAACTTTCATTTCCTGGTGCTTGACATCTGGAATCACAAAACAGAACGGTGGGATAGAAGATCAAATTAATCACCCTGTAATCACTCACGTTCCCCCAAATATCACTTATCGTCCCCCTGCAATCACTCACGTTCCCCCAAATATCACTTATCGTCCCCCTGTAATCACTCATGTTCCCCCAAATATCACTTATCACCCTGTAATCATTCATGTTCCCCCAAATATCACTTATCACCCTGTAATCACTCATGTTCCCCCAAATATCACTTATCGCCCCCTGTTCCCCCAAATCACTCATCACTCATGTTCCCCCAAATATCACTTATCGCCCCCTGTAATCACTCATGTTCCCCCAAATATCACTTATCGCCCCCTGTAATCACTCATGTTCCCCCAAAAATATCACTTATCGTCCCCCTGTAACCACTCATGTTCCCCCAAATATCACTTATCGTTCCCCTGTAATCACTCATGTTCCCCCAAATATCACTTATCGCCCCCCTGTAATCACTCACGTCCCCCAAATATCACTTATCACCCTGTAATCACTCACGTTCCCCCAAATATCACTTATCGTCCCCCTGTAATCACTCATGTTCCCCCAAATATCACTCATGTTCCCCCCAAATATCACTCATCGTCCCCCTGTAATCACTCATGTTCCCCCAAATATCACTCATCACCCCCCTGTAATCACTCATGTTCCCCCCAAATATCACTCATCGTCCCCCTGTAATCACTCATGTTCCCCAAATATCACTTATCACCTCCTGTAATCACTCATGTTCCCCCAAATATCACTTATCGTCCCCCTGTAATCACTCATGTTCCCCCCAAATATCACTCATCGTCCCCCTGTAATCACTCATGTTCCCCCAAATATCACTTATCGTCCCCCTGTAATCACTCATGTTCCCCCAAATATCACTTATCGTCCCCCTGTAATCACTCATGTTCCCCCAAATATCACTCATCGTCCCCCTGTAATCACTCATGTTCCCCCCAAATATCACTCATCGTCCCCCTGTAATCACTCATGTTGCCCCCAAATATCACTCATCGTCCCCCTGTAATCACTCATGTTCCCCCAAATATCACTTATCGTCCCCCTGTAATCACTCATGTTCCCCCCAAATATCACTCATCGTCCCCCTGTAATCACTCATGTTCCCCCAAATATCACTTATCGTCCCCCTGTAATCACTCATGTTCCCCCCAAATATCACTCATCGTCCCCCTGTAATCACTCATGTTCCCCCCAAATATCACTCATCGTCCCCCTGTAATCACTCATGTTCCCCCCAAATATCACTCATGTTCCCCCCAAATATCACTCATCGTCCCCCTGTAATCACTCATGTTCCCCCCAAATATCACTCATCGTCCCCCTGTAATCACTCATGTTCCCCCAAATATCACTTATCACCTTCTGTAATCACTCATGTTCCCCAAATATCACTTATCACCCCCTGTAATCACTCATGTTCCCCCAAATATCACTTATCGTCCCCCTGCAATCATTCATGTTCCCCCAATTCCTCTCACTGATAAACAAATAGATACTATTCCTCCAACTAATACCAAGGATGCAAATACAGCCTGACTAGGAGTGTTAACTCTTCCAGACTGACATCCATCCATCAAGGCATTCCAATATTTGCACGACTCCTCAAGTGCCAGTCCACCACTTGCTTCAGGGTTGAGGGATCTTGAAAAGAGTACTGAGGTAGAAAGCAATGTACAGAACTTTTGCAGCCCCCTCCCCCCACCAGCCATAATCTGCCTGCATTGCATAGAGAATCACAGAGATCCAGTGATGAGGTTACTGGTTGTAAATAAAGCATGTGATGAAAGAATAAAGGTTTTACCTAAAAAACACAAGTTGATGAAAAAGAAAAAGCGCAACCAAGGAAGGCAAATTATAAGATATACCTCCCTGATCTGTGTAATGGTTTTGCACAGAGCAGCCCTGAACCTCCACTTCTCAGGTCCCCCTGCCGGTGTTACATAGTTAGTCTGGCTGAAAAAAAGACAAAAGTCCATCCAGTTCAACCATAAAAAAAAGTTATAATCCTATACCCACAGTTGATCCAGAGGAAGTATAAAAAAAAACCCAGCAAAGCACGATCCTGGCATCTGAGTACCCCCCCCCCCCCAAACAAGGCACTTGTTAAGGCAGGTACTCATGTGCTCCCCTCTCCCTCGTCGCTGGATTTGATTGACAGCAGCAGCAGCCAATAGCTCCCACTACTATCACTGAGTCCAATGAGGAGGGAGAGAGCAGTGCCGCTGCTCTCGGGCACAACGCTGGATCGAGTAAGTATTAAGGGGGGGCTGCGGGCGGGGGGGCTGCACTCAAAAGTTTTTTTTACCTTAATGCAGACAATGCATTAAGGTAAAAAAAAAAAAAATCCTGAAACCTTTAAATCCAGCACAAAGGATTGAAAACTGCAACTATGCAACCACGCAGCACCAGCAGTGTCTCTAAATGAATGCCATCGATCATCCGTCTGCAACACTTCTGGAACACGAAATCTAATAATTAAACAGTTGTGGCTTGCACAGGGCAGAGACAAACAGGTACAATTAGTTATCTGAGAAAGCGTTTTGCTCCCGTCTTCTTGCTGACTCAGTGAGGATTCTCCTAATACTGGTAGATGCTCTGTGCAGATGTTCCTGAATAATGAACTTAATTAGCCGTATCAGCTGCAGTTCTGGATCAAACCTCCACCAGGGGCGCTGTTGCATCAAACCTTAACGCAGGATTCGACCGAAAACCAAACATTTCTTCTGTTGCAGCTTACCAATGCTTAGGTGTGGGGGCTGCATTCGTTTTCTTTTTTTAGGTTCTCTTATTTTCACCTCGTTATCCAGCCAGTAAGTCTGTTTTTCTAAAGAACAAGCTCTTTTACACATGTATCAGTTTACAGGGATGAGATAAACCATTTAACACAGGCAGGGGTTCTTAGTCCTTATGTACACGGGATGCTTTTGGATTTTGAAATTTTTTTCTACAGCTAGTAAAACCCCCCAGCATGTTATCCTATGTGTCCATCTCCGGCATGTTATCCTACGTGTCCATCCCCGGCATGTTATCCTATGTGTCCATCTCCGGCATGTTATCCTATGTGTCCATCCCCGGCATGTTATCCTATGTGTCCATCCCCGGCATGTTATCCTATGTGTCCATCCCCGGCATGTTATCCTATGTGTCCATCCCCTGCATGTTATCCTATGTGTCCATCCCTGGCATGTTATCCTATGTGTCCATCTCCGGCATGTTATCCTATGTGTCCATCCCTGGCATGTTATCCTATGTGTCCATCTCCGGCATGTTATCCTATGTGTCCATCCCCGGCATGTTATCCTATGTGTCCATCCCCGGCATGTTATCCTATGTGTCCATCCCCGGCATGTTATCCTATGTGTCCATCCCCGGCATGTTATCCTATGTGTCCATCCCCGGCATGTTCTCCTATGTGTCCATCCCCGGCATGTTATCC